CGACTTAATTATCTTTTATTTGCGCACGGTGGCGAGACGATTTTAATTTAATTTTTAATAGCTTTACGCACAGGTTATGATCCACCAACGCCATCTATTGTGGAATAGTTTTTGTATGTTTAGGTTAGGAGAATAAAAAAAGTAGACGCTGGTCTGAATTGTAAATTGTCGGGGTTGAGCGCACGCTATCTCTCGGGCAATTTACCATTTTCGCATTAAACGATTATGCGAGATTATATCCGTTTTGAAACGTGCCGCCGCCGCCGCCGCCGCCGCTGCCGCCTCCCACTGATTACCTACAAGCTTACAACTTACCCGCACTCTCGGCGAAAACCGCGCGCATTGTTTACTCCGTGCGTTTCGGGCATTTCGGGCATTGTTTGTCGCCGGCGGCCATTTTAATTTACCGAGGGTGGGGGTGGGGGTGGTGTGCATGCCGGCGGAGAACAAAAACGGTTAACTAGCGCGCGGAGATGGTCGCCGCTGGAGCAATTAAAGCCAGATGATGATGATGATGACGATAGCGCAAGCGCGCGCGGGCGCACGGCGCGCGATAATGGCGTTAATTAATTCTCCCCCTATTGCGACTCGCTGCACCCTTTCAACACACACACACATACATCTACGTGTGGATGCGAACTAATGGGCTAATTAAATTGTTATACAGTGGTCGGATGGCTGCATAACTTTCACACAAAGATTTCATCAGGCATTTGTACTAGGTAGGCAACCCAATATACATAAATTATACTCCACAACGTATTTTATATACACTAAAATAGAAAACAATAAAAATTTAGGGTGGAATTGATATTAACGTGTCCGGTTCGGGTGATAATAGGCGTAATGAGGTGCAAATGAGGAAATGTCGTTTCGGTTATCTGCACGTGGCGAAATCGGCCATTATTAGTGCACTAAGTGTCAAATGTGTCAGTAAACTCCATTAATAAATCGTAAAATTCGCACTTGATTAAACACCCTCTTGTTGCAATTCACATTTACTTTATGCAGACCATTCTAGTCAAGGTCATTGCTATATTTATATTTTAGTTTATGTCCTGCCATCTGAATTTTAAAATTTAAACAAAAACCTTTTAAAATTAATCAAAAACATAAAAATGCCTCAAAAACACAAAATAATACTTTATATAACATTTTTATTAATTTATTTATAAATTTTATGCATAATAAGCTATAAAATCAATAAATTAATAATTTTTATTTTTAAAACAATACACTTCACTAGCGACATCTGGCGGTGGAAATAAGTACTATATAGCGGATAACTTGGCGTCATAACGCGCGCCAAACAGAGTAACGGTTGGAATCACAAGGTGCGTGCTGGACTTTACAGAAAATGATTCCAAAAGTGTTAATTCATCTTAGTGCCCTTCATCCCATCGTCCACGAAGCCCTGGGACGCTTCCCCACGTCCTCAACAACAGGTTTGTACTGAAAAACACTGAAAAACTTCAAAAAATCAATTTTTAACTTGTTTTTTGTTTTAGGTTAGTGTCTACATGCGTTCTTCTTACCAGCGCTCGAAATAAACGCACTGCTGGCATAGTAAAAGTCATAAAATCAACAACCCCTAATCGGCAACTATCCGCTCGCTTATCTCTCCCCCGCCCAGTTGCTCTCCTCGCATTTTTGACGTGTTATTAAGCGGTGTATTCACTTAACTTGTAACATCACCCTTGAATGGGTGATTTCCATCCCTATTCAAACACATTCGCATTCTCAGATGAATACCGATTTACTGGATATACTGGTGACATGCTTTTGGGTTATATCTAGGTGTGTGTTGGTGTGTGTGAGGCACATTATTAGGGGTTGTGCGTGCGCGCATTTATCGTTGGGAGTTGAAGATATATCTGCGTTGAGCGGCGCTGATACGCGGCGGTTCCGACGCTAACGAGAGGGTGCGCACCCCCTGATGGGATTACGCCTGAGAGATGAAAGGGCAATAATTGAACTTACTAACACTATACTAGGCATCGAACAGTGAACAAACACTGTGTGTGTGTTTGTAGTAAGCTTGTCAACATTATAATAAGCAGTTAACTAGAGATGGTCAACATATACAGCGTGTTTAAAGAGATAGAAGGAAAAAAATTGTTGATTTTGGTTTAATTTTGGTTTAAATGCACAGAATGCAAGTTTAGATTGAAAATTTTGAGGTTAATCGATGTTTAGGCTTTGTTTTTAATTATTTTGATGCTTTACTTAAAGATGGAGGACACATACAGGGTGTTCTAAGAGATAGAAGTTAAAAATTAGTTGGTTTTGGTTTATTTTTGGTTAAAACGCGAAAAATTCATGTTTTGATGATGAATTTTGATGATAATCATGGATTAGGCTTCGATTCTTTGGATTTTTGATAATTTTACCACTTTGAACACATGGTATGTTGGTGTATATTGTGGATATACCTGAATGTGTCTTTGAATGTCCTCTTCGCGCCTCGCGGATGATCGTACAAAACGTCGATAATCGATTGTGTGTCGAGCTGCGATTGTGCAATCAATCGACGCACAATTATCGCTCGTTATCGAGCCATTCGGTCGGCGAAGACGGCGAAATCACTTTCATCGCGGCCGCCGCCACTGGCTGCTGCAGTAATAATCATAAAAATGCGTCAATCAATTGAATTGGTTGTACAGTTACGTTTTGGTGCAATATATTGATGCGTGATTGATGGTTTTACTAGTGTAGGTTTAGTTTTTTTATTGATATCTCTTAAAGTATTTGAGATATATTAAAAATGAAAACTGATTCTGATTCTTTGGAAAATTCTCTATGGGATGACAGATTAAGGGGATTTATTTGTTTATTAGATAAAAAGTTATTAACAATTAAAGTTGAAATTTTTAATTTTTACGGAAATTAGTTTATAATTCATCCAGACCTATAGTATCTCTGGGTTTATATATACAGGATGATAGTATATTACATATTAAACTAAATTAATCATAATTGCATCAATCATATGCATTAACCATATAATTATATGGGTGCAATATATGGACAAATGATTGATTGTTTTAGTTTTTTGTTGATAACTCATAAAGTATTTATGATAAACAAAAATTAAAAACAAATTTTGAATCCTTGACAAATTCTCTACAAAACAACATTTTACCATAATTTATTTGTTTATAACTTTAAAAGTTATAAACAATTAAAATTGAAAAAAATATTTTTTGCTCAAAATAACTTATAATTTATCCACGACTATAGTATTTTTGTATTTCTATATACAGTATGTCATTATATCACATATGAAAGTGAATTAATCATGATTAACGCCCAGACGCCATTAGTACTGTCGCATATTCGTTTCAATTAACGTCCGCAACACTTTTATTGGACGCGTGTTTAAATCATCGCCGAGCGTCGAGTTTTATTATAATGTAAATATAATATCGGTTTCGGTCCCCTCAGCGCCCCAGCAAGCGGTGACCATAGGGGTCCAATTAAGGATCCATTCTGGTGTGCCCCCGGCGGTGGGCGCACGCAACACATTCACTCATATACAGTGCATTCCCAAACAAAACAAAAATAAGCTTTCATAAAAATATTTAAATATTTAATATTTTAGCTTTGAACACACTGTATATCATTGTTTTCCTGCCAAAATTGCCTAAAACGTTGAGAGTGACATCAGTCGGAGGTCGTGCGCACTTTTTCACCCTTGAAAGCACACTCAGCAACACAAAAATATCAAATTTATATAAATAATGATTAAATATTGATTGATTGATTGATATTTGATTGATCATTATATTTCGATTCACAGATGCTGAGTGTATTTAAATTTCTTAATTAATGATTGATTAATTTATTCGTCTATAATAAATTACATATTTCTATAAATACTAACCTCAAAACAACGTCGCAATCAGCCGAAATAGATCGAATCGCGCGCGGTCATAAATCACATCGATAAATCACGAAATTAAGAAACCAAAATTTCATTCAAATAATTTATCACTCTTTCTATTTATGAAATTTATTGAAATTCATACAAAACTCACAATATAATAAAATGTTTCATCATATTTTATCAAGCAGGATTTAATTTCTTTCGCTATCAAAAATTAATTAATATTTATTGCGAATAATTAAAGTTACACATCGAACATAATGTTTAATTAATCGTTATCACATTCTTTCGATGGTTACACACACTCCACAAGCAATGAAATCATTTCTATAAATACCATTCAACACATTTGATAATAAACTTATTTATAGCGCTGTAAAAATCTGTAATTTTTTTACAGTTTTCTGTAATTTTCATACTTTTTTCATTTGAGGTTAAAAACTCGACTAAAACTCACCATGCGACGAGTTATAAATAATCCGCCGCCACACCGATGAATATTATGTCGTGCATGTCTCATGATGGGTGGCGGTCATAATTAAATACGAAATTGGCCATTAACTGGCGCGTTTAGAGCGCACTTAATCTCAGCGCTCACGGCGCGCGCGTGTGACTCATCTCCCGCAACTGCACTCAATTCATAATAATTTACCGCCAGGTGGCGCTGGCGCTGCGATGCATGACCAATGCAAACACGACACTTTGGGATTGTCGTCCGTTTAATCACATATTTTATTGATATTTACGTGATGTTATGTGAATGTTTATTAGACGCCGTATCGCCGCATGTGTGTAATTGCAATAAACAATTTAATTGAATTCGAACGCGCGCGATAAAATTAATTTTACGCTCGGAGCTGCGATTAATGCGCGCTGTCAAGTCACAAGCAGTGATAAAAAGATAGCGAGGCTATCGGCGGTAATATAATTTCAGTTTAACACAACTTGTACGATTTTATAATTATTATTATTAATGGCGGCGATAATGTTTAGTAATAATAATCATAATAATAATAATAATAATATGAATACTCACTCACTCTGTCTGTGGTCGATGCTGATATAATAATTAGTTGAGGGCGGTGGGTTCACGAACAGAAAATTATACAGGGTGTTTTAATTTTTTAAATATTTTTTATTTGTTTGTATGCATAATGTGGTTTTGCAAATGTTACAGAAATCTATTTTGTGTGTGTTTATCTACAGTATTAATGTTATAATTAGCTTGTAGTTGAATTTGTTACAAAAACAGATTTGCAACACTCTGTATATTTTTTTCTTTTTTTGCATTACTGGTTACGTTTATACGTTTAAATACAGGGCGATATTTACAAAAAGAACGAAAGAAAATCACACGTAATTTGCGCGGCCATTTTTTTAATTTTTAAATTTTAAATAAAAATGGCGCCCCGGAAGAAGGAAGCATACTTTTGTTAATAATTATTAATCATCGTTAAGCACTACATAAATAATTCATTTACAAATAAAATATAATGTTTTTCTTTTGATGCTTAAATATTGCAACTGGCATAATCACGACCACGACGAGTATAACTCACGCACGCATGCGCACACAGCACGAATGTTTTTTTTTTCTTCTTGTTTTTTAAAGTTTGGGTTTTTAAGACATGTGATGTGGTGATGGCGATCGTATACTGCCTTGCGGTGAGGCGAGATGCGGCGGTGGTGGTTGGGGCGGCGGCTGCTGTTGATGCGGATGCGGCGCGTGCTGCAGCATTGAGAGCGAGGGCGGCGGGCCGAGGTGGTGTGGGGGTGCGCCGCGTGCGCTTGCCGCCGCCGCCGCAGCGCCGAGTAATGAGGCGAGCGGGTGCGCGCCCGCTGGGAAGTAGCCTTGGAGTGCCGGGTGCGGATACAGCGCCGGGTGGTGGGGGTGGTGGCGGCTGAGCGACGCCATCTTCAGCTTTTCGATTTCGGCTTCCTGGAGGCGTTTCGCTTTCGCGCGGCGGTTTTGAAACCAGATTTTCACCTTTTTTTGGTTGAGTGGAGAAAAATAGGGTTGCATTGGTATTGTCGTTTTTGAGATTTTGAGATTTTGAGGTTATGTTGATGGGGGTCTACTTACTTGTGTTTCGGTCAATCGGAGCGAACTGCTGAATTCGGCACGTTCGGCGATGCTCAGGTACTGTTTATCTCTGAATTTCTTCTCCAAGGCGAGCAGCTGTTGCGTTGTGAAGGGTGTGCGCGGCTTCCGGTTCGGTTTGTGTTTGCGCAGATTACATTTCAATTTTGGTGGATCGTTATTATCTGCAACAAGCAAAATTTTTGTTTTTGTTAGTTTTTTGGTTGTATCTCAGGTATTTATTATCAGATTTGCACCAAAATTTAAAGAATATAAAAGAAAGAGCATTTTTACAAGATGGTGAAGAAATAATAGTAAAATATTTATTACTTTAAGAGATATTTGTTATTAAAATTTGTGCATTTGTACAATTACGCGTTTTAGTGTTTTTCTTAGTTTTTGCTCATAACTTAACTCTGCGTGGTCAAATTTTCACCAAAATTTTGAGAATATATAAGAAAAGGCTTCTTTATAAGATGGTAAAATAATAATAATAAAAACTTTATAACTTTAGGTATTATTTGATATCAAACTTTGCACTTTGCGTAAAAATTTCATAAAAATCCGCATTTTTCATTATTTTTTTGTTTATAACTTTTACAAATATAAACAAACTTTAACAAAACTTTGACTACCAAAGAAACATAAAATTACTCAAATTATACACCAATTATATTTTGTTTATATCAATTACAACAAAAGTTATACTAATAAACATTCGCTTTTGCAACAAGAAATATAGACGCACAATGAATAGAGACGGGTTATGATTGAATAATATTCATTAATTTAATTGAATACGTTATTGATTAATCAAATGTAGAGTTTTAGGAATGTGAGGCTTGAGTAGCGAGTGGATTTGAGGTCAGGAGAGTGTCAAACGAGTCGATAAAATTAAAATTAAGAAACCATTAGTTGCCCTCATCTGCGCCTCCGCGCTGCTTACAAATCTAATGAATAAACAACGCACAGTGTTATCGCGGCGCGTTGGGCAATTTCAATTAATATCTTCATGCTCAGCTGAATTGCGAGCAAACAAATTTTGAATTAAACTTGCAAGCACATCATTACAGGCAAAACAACACAAAAATATGGAATTTTTATGCAAGGATTTGGGAATATTTTCAAGTTTTTCATAAATAATTGATAAACTAAAGTAGTAAATAAATTTTAATGTAGGGTATTTTATAATATAAAATTTGATCTTTCAGTGGAAGCAGAAATTATTTGTTTATCTCAGTTAGTTTGGGAGTTATAGAGGTTTTGTTTCGTTTGTGGTGAAACTTTTTGTAAATTACACCAAAATAATTGAAAATTTTCATTTACGAATATCTCGCAAACTAAAAGAGATAAATAAGATCTGGTTGCAACGTCTTAATCTACGAGCTATTCTCTATAAGATAGGCTAGTTAAAATAGAAATCTGAGAGATGAAATTTTCATTCTTAAGAAAAAATTGCCAAGGGGGTGCTTGATACTTTTTTTCGACGATTTTTGATAATTAATATCTCCTAAACTAAAAGCGCTAGAATCCTACGAATTACTGATTATGAAAGATTGGAAAATTCTCTATCAGGTAAAAGTATAAAATAATTATATTTCCTACAGTAAATGGTCAAAAAACGCGACTGAAAGTGATAAAAAGTGACAATTTGCAATTTTTGACGATTTTTTTCAATCGCGAATATCTCGTAAACTAAAAGAGATAAATAAGATCTGATCGCAGCGTTTTAATCTACGAACTATTCTCTATAAGATTGAATGGTTAAAACGGAAATCTGAGAGATGAAAATTTCTTTCTTAAGAAAAAAATTGCCAAGGGGGGGTGCTTGATACTTTTTTTCGACGATTTTTGATAATTAATATCTCCTAAACTAAAAGCGCTAGAATCCAACGAATTACTGATTCTGATAGATTGAAAAATTCTCTATCAGATAAAAATATAAAATAATTATATTTTCAAGAGTAAAAGGTCAAAAAACGCGACTGAAAGTGCTAAAAAGTGACATTTTGCAATTTTTGCTCATTTTATTCAATCGCGAATATCTCGTAAACTAAAAGAGATAATTAAGATCTGATCGCAGCGTTTTAATCTACAAACTATACTTTATAAGATAGAATAGTTAAAACGGAAATCTGAGAGATGAAATTTTCATTTTTAAGAAAAAAATTGCAAAGGGGGGGTGCTTGATACTTTTTTTCGACGATTTTTGAAAATTCATATCTCTTAAACTAAAAGCGCTAGAATCCTACGAATTACTGATTATGAAAGATTTGAAAATTCTCTATCAGGTAAAAGTATAAAATAATAATATTTCCAATAGTAAAAGGTTAAAAAACGCGACTAAAAGTGCTAAAAAGTGACATTTTGCAATTTTTGACGATTTTCTTCAATCGCGAATATCTCGTAAACTAAAAGAGATAATTAAGATCTGATCGCAGCATCTTAATCTACGGACTATTTTCTATAAGATAGAACAACGGAAATCTGAGCGGTGAAATTGTAATTCATAAGACAAAATGGGCAAAAAATCCTCTCAAATTTAATTTAATAACATTAACACTCTCATAAATTACTTATCAAACGATAATTTAATTAATACCCTGTGCAAACTTTAATAACTTTGTTTCCATTCCCTTGCGACGTTTTAATTCAACATTCTGCACGTGCAAATACAAAAAGTTGCCTGAATGTATTAATACCTAGCCATGCTGGCCATTAAATATTTCCAGATAAGTCGCTAATTGCGCCGCAATCCGCCAACTATAATATGATGGTAGGTTTTGCACGACTAATTGGTTAATTAGAAAATGTATGATAAATTATTCTTCATCAACGAACTTCATTCGCACAGCCAACCGTCGAAATTTCAAATAATGGCACTATCAACAGTGCAGCAATGTGGTAATTATGCCGTAATAATTTAAATAACTAAATAATTATTATAATCTAAATAATTTCGCTATTATCATTTAAATACTCGGGTATTTTTTAATTTTGCAAACGTGGCAATTAAAGTGCCACGCACAAAATTCGAAATATTTGCGTTGAAAAATCAGTTATTATTTTAATTATCGTAAAATGTCAATACTGGTTGATAACGAGTGATAAGAATGATATCTATGTAAAAATATTAATATTTTTGTTACGCCATCTATCGGCGGATAGTGGTAAAGTATTTAAATGTTTCGAAATTGAACATTTTATTACCTAATCCGAGATTTTTTTATTATTTGTTAATTAACGTGGACGTGGATCATTAAGCGGCGTTAGGCGATGGGTCATTAGCGTAACGAATCGATTTCGAAGACGCAAACCGGTCATAATGGAATAATTAAGCAGTCGACTAATCGAACGACGGTGCAAATGAAAAAAAAAACACAACCGCCTCCAAAATTCAATTCTAATTCCAATTTTGTTTTAAAATATTAATTAGTGATTAATTTTATTTGATGGGTTTTCGTAGTTTTGTGAAATAATTTGCTGAATTTGTGTCGGTTGAGGATGAGGTGGACGGAAGGTATTTTACAGGTGCTGCGCGATAAGCGCTCGTCGTAATTATTTATTCGCGCTAATTGGGAAGCGAGCGCTTCTTCTTTCGTCGCGTTCGGTTATCTTAATTTACTTCTTATTTACTTTCGGGTCGTTGGCGCACTCTCGCATTGTGCAGCGACTTAATTTCGTCGCTTTTGCGCTGTGTTGATGCAGGTACTGACTTAACAGTAAAATAAACGGCGGAAATATAAAATATACTTAAGTGTGTAACTATTGTGGAGGTAAAAATTGTTTTGTTTTGGTAAATAATATTTATTTATGATTTTTAAAGTTTGTTTTTGAGGGAAATTTTCATTTTTAACGGTTTTATCTTTGTTTTTTGATGATAATTAACGTATTTATTAGTAGATTTCTTTAAAATTATTAATAGAATTAAAGAATTGTTGGATTCATAAGATGGTGAAAGAATAATAATAATTTGTTGGTTAGTTTAGGAATTATTTGATTTTAAACTTTGTATTTTGGTCAAAATTTTGCGAAATTGCGAAGTTTTCATATTTTTTCTTAGTTTTTTTGTTTATAATTAATGTATTTATGGTCAGATTTGCACTAAAATTTTAAGAGTCTAAGAGAAGAAGCGTCTTTATAAGATAGTGAAATAATAGTAACAAAATGTTAATTACTTTATGAATTATATAATATTAAAATTTGCATCTTAACTCAAAACTTTGCAAAATTGCAAATTTGTATTTTATATTTTTGTTTATAACTTTTTCAATTCTTAACCGATGTTAATGAAACTTTTACCACTTATTAACAATAAAATTCCCCAAATATTACATTTTTTTAAATTTATGTAGGTATAACAATTATAACAAAAGTTATTCTCAAAAAACCTTTGCAAAAATTTCATAAAAATTAAATCCGTCACTGATCACATCGTATCGGCATGAATATTGAGTGAAAAAAAGAAGTTTTAAAAACCGGGAGCCAGTGTCCGCTTAATTGAACTAATCGTTATGTCGTAGTTTACCTGATGGCATGGGTGACGCAACCGAATCGCCACCGTTCGAGATAACACACGCACAACACCAACGCGCTCTCATCTGTTTTTATCTTTTTTTTTTCCTTTTCACTTCTGCTTCTTCTTCTCCGCATCTCGCGCGCACCGGGGTTTCATTAATTAACACATCTGAGTAAAAGCCGCGCGCGCCTTAATTCGGGGCGACGAGATCCGAAGAAATCTCGGAAAGTCAAAAGCGGAATAAATTTCACATTAACGCCGTCAGATTTTCGTGGAACTACAACGACACAGCCTCCGAAACAGAGCGCTTAATTATCGGATGCAGAGATACACACGTTTCTATAATTAAACTATCAGCGGCAATTAAATTTTAAGTTTAAAAAATAAAATAAAATAAAAACACTTTGTATATGTATTTTGAACATACTGTATGTAGAAATGTGACTGTAGGTTTTTTTAGTAGACGTTGAATTGTTTGAGTATTTTAGTTAATTTTGGAGTTATTGCAATTTTTTCGAGTTTTGGGTGAAATTTTACGCATTTTTGAATTGGTTTTTTGCTCATTACTCGAAAACTAAAAGTCGCACATATTTGTGCTTTAGGTGGTTAAAAGTATTTAAATAGCTCTTTCTATTGATATATTTATCAACCTTGCATGATAATAATTAGGTTAATTAACTGAGATTTTTAGTCTGAAAATGCGTAAATTTTGACAAATTTTTACGTTTTTTCAAATTTTAGCCATATTACAAAAGTTTTCAAATCAGAATAAAATCAACTTAATAGTACTCACAATTATCTATTATTTGAAACGAATTTCAAGTTTATATCACAAATAGTTTCGGAGTTATCACAAATTTAAATTTATATTTTTCGTCATTTTTCGATTTTTTGAATTTTACTCTTTGAACACATTGTATATGTGGGTTTATTTAGCAGACGTCGAACGTTGAAATAACATATGTAACGAAATCCGTTTCGCGAACCCTTTTTCGCAAAGTTCGCCGAGCTTACCGGGAACAAAGCTGCGCGCATCTTCGGCAGCTTTGGCGTCCTTCGTTTGCCGCATTTGCATTTCCCATTGTCTTGCGCCCGGCCGCGATCATCGCTTCCAATCTCTCTCTTCTTGTCGGCGGGTATTTTGATGGATATCCGTCGGCGGCAGCGACGTCGTCGTCCCGGCTTTACATTGCGTCGACGTGGATAATTGGACGCGCACGTCAATTTCGTCGAATCGCGATTTTAGGCATTCGGCATTATTCACAGCCATTTACGTAAATCGCGCGCATTTTTTACATTGTCAACGCTGCTAAATCAGCGGATTTTTTTTTTGGAGAAATAAAATAAAATGTTTAAGCAGATGGAATTGTAAATGATATAAATGATATAAATGATATGTCGATGCGTTTGTGATATAAATTAATCAATATCGACGGGTGGCGACTATAATAGCGTCGTTTATTTACCTTTTTCACTGACGTCGCGCTTCTTAGTTATTACTTCATATTTTGTTTTATGGTGTGTCATTAATTTGATTTTATTATTGTTTTTATCGGTTTGGGTCGGTAATAACGGAAACATTCGGTTTTATTCGTTATTTTATGGTCGAGTTGGGGTTCTTTGTTTAATAACTCCGGTGTTAATTAACCAATTTTGATTAATTTTGGTACAGGGATATTAGGATAAATTTTTGAGAAAATAATGAAAGAATTTTTTAATTATTATTTTTAGTTTAGAAGTTATTAGAAATTAAAGTTGTAAAAATAGTTTTTGTGGTTAAAAAGTGATTTTGTTTATAATTATTTTATTTATCGACCAATTGGAGTCAAATTTAGAATAGGGATAGAAGAATAAATTATTCAACAATAAAGTTAAATTCGTTAAAAAATATTAATTAGCATTTGAGTTATATAGTTTTTAAATTTGAGGTTTTCGAAAAAAACTTTAGTTTTTAAAGCAAAATTGAATTTGTTTAGTTTTTTGTTTATAATTATTTTATTTATCGACCGATTGGATTCAAATTTAATATAGTCGTAAAAGAATAAATTATTTAGTAATTAAAGCAAGTTTCAGTAAATAATATTGATTAACATCAGAGTTATTTAATATTTAAATTTGATTTTGACAAAAAAACTTAAAATTTTATACATAAACCGTTTTTGTTTAGTTTTTTGTTTATAACTTTGACATTTCTTAATAGATTACTTTCAAATTTTAAACATATACAGATAAATAAATTCCCTACAACATATTTTCAAAATTTTTAAAAAATAATAACAATTACAAAAGTTATCCGTCATTAAAGAAAATATTTTCCCGAAAATAAAACAAAGATTTATTTTTGTATCAACGGAAGTTTTAAACTTAAAAAATGATTCTAAAGCCCGCTTGCTGTGAGGGTTGGTATGCCGCAGCGGCAATTAATCGCCGATCGTTTGAGTTGTGAACATTGAAAAACTAAGATTATAGATTTCGACAAGCGCCTGCCCGATACGATGCACCTTTTCATTTCAGTGTTCGTTTGTTTCGTTTCACTTTACCGCCTCTCGCATCCGACATATTTATAATTGTTATATTTACCCGGCCGTCGACAGCCCGCGTGCGCACAGCAGGGGTGGTAGATGTTAAACCATGATATCTCCAACCAAAAAAGCAAAAGATTTCTGTTGCCCGAAAAACCCACAGGTATTTTTTATACTTTTACGTTGAAAATTCAAAAAAATCAATACAAAAACGCATATTAAGTTAGGTTATGTTATGTTTAATGTTTGGTTATGTAACCAACGCGTGCTGAAAACAAATATTTAGCGCGCGTGTATGTGTTGCGATTAGAGCGGATTAATTGCGTTCGCGTGACGGCACCTAATTGATGTCAATTAAAATATTTTGATAAAAACAATCGCCGGACTTATTATTCTCACATATATATTTTATGTGTTGGATTTTTTCCTCTCGTCGGTTGCATGGCTACTGCATATACCTACCTACTTATGCTAATGTTGAAGACTCTGGTAATTTTTAATAAAGCAATTTATACGTATCAAAGCGCATAAATTACGTAGTGTAACTGGTGGATTATAAAAATATATTCATAATACGCGGCTAAATAAACCATTAAATATTTTTATTATGTTAACAAAACAAATTTTAGTTTTGTGCTTTTCTTGGTATTTTTAATTTTAATGTTTCAAGCGTAATGAAACTCGGAAAATAAAATAAAAATAAAAATAAGAAAGAGGAGTAAATCGAGCTGTTAATAGTTTTGATAAAAATACCTCGCGCGACACGCTCGGTCGGTTTAAACGTCTTCCGTCGTTTTAGTGGCTCGAGAGTGTGTGTATCACATGGTCGTACATCTTGTTTTGGTATTTTTGTTGCATTCCACGGGAAAAATGTGCTTGAAATGTTGAAAAATGCAGGTTTTATGTTTTTGGGCGAAATTTTTGGTAGAATTTCTTATTTTAAGAAAAGGGTATAAATTTGTTACACTCTGTATAAATATTTTTTTACAGTTTTTAAAAAGATCTATCATTAGGAGCAAAAATGTTTGATTTATCTTTGTTAGTTTTTGAGTTATAATCATTTTTATTGTCATTGAGAAAAATTTACTTTTTTTACCGCTAATAAGAAAACTACAAATCACTCAAATACAATTTTTTTTATCAATAAATCTCCGTTAAATTCTCTTTCAAATGATACATCATTCAACTTTCTACCTTTAAATTTACCAAAGTTACAACAAAAATAAAAACAAAATCCATCAATTTTTACTCTGTAATGAGTCCAATGTAAATCGATGACATTGGAATTGTCGTCCAGCGTCTTTTGCATTATTCACGCCGTTTGCGACCGCGTAAAATAGATCCACGTTTTCGATAAATTAACATTATTCGCAATTAGCTGCCCTGCCACTAAATTACCGCCTCCTGAAGGCCATTAATAGGCATGCGCACACAAACACACACATCTATACTAAACATTCACTTTAAGCGCACACTATACTCACTATAATTGCGCGTGCGAGTTAATAAAGTTCAATAAGTGGGAGAATAAAACCCAGCACACAACATTATAGGTTATGTGCTTATAATAATTACAATACTTAAGCCATAGATACCTGCGCGGAATTTGTTTTGTTTGCATTTAGTCGTTTACCGTCGGATAAATTTATTACACGATGAATACTAATACTAAATTGTTGAGCATAACATAAATACGCTAATTATCTCACATAAGTATTGCACAATCAGAGTGATAGAAATAAATAATTTTGCAGAATTGCTAAATTTCATTCATTCACAGATAGAAAATATGAAATTTTATTTTATTTATTATTCTATTACGACGCCATTCATCCAAAGTGCACGTTCAATTAATTCATGAATACATTCACAGCGATAATAATAATTGATTTCAATCAATTGCCGGCCAATTAAACAAACAATCGCGCGCGGTTCTTACGCACACGAGTGACAATATTATTAATTGGCTAATTATGAAATTATCACGCGCACGCATTGATTAAATAATTGTTATGATTGGAAATTGAAATTAATAATGCAAAAAAAAAAGAGAAGCATTGGTATTGTCGTTTTTGTAAAAGTGTCAAAATTAATTTGTTTCATTTTGAGTTTGGAGGTTTGAGAAACTAAAATTTAATTAGCGACGATGGGCAATAATCGTGTCTGTTTGCCTGTAATAAATTACCTTCCTCAGCGGCGAAGAATTTTTCGACCTTTTTCTCTCCCGACGCCGTGCACCTTTACATTCTAGGTTGTTATCTGCTGATTTTTAACGATAAAAATATTTTTGGTGAAATTTTACCATTTTAGACCTTTCAACACTTGCTACTTGTCATTAAAATTAATTATTTTGTATATAGGCAACTTGTTTTGCATTTTAAGGTGTTTTGGGTTGCCTATATCAATATTTTCCACTAGTTTTGAATTTTGGTGTATATTGGGTTGTCTATATTCACATATGCAACTTGTTTTTCATTTCGGTGTATATTGGGTTGCCTATATCAATATATCCCACTAGTTTTGAATTTTGGTGTATATTGGGTTGTCTATATTCACATATGCAACTTCTATTACATTTCGGTGTATATTTGGTTGCCTATATTAAAACTAACCTGAGTTTAAATTCGGTACACCAAACGGCGTCGGTCCTTGAAACATATGATGCCCGCCGCCGGCAAAGGGCCCAACAAGCCCTTGCGGCGGCCAGTTGGGATGCGATTGAAACACCGCCGCCAACGCCGAAAACGCCGTCGGACGAATCGGCCCCTGATTCATGGGAAAATCACCACTTTGTGGCCTCAACTCATTTTCGCGTTTTCTCGGACTTGAAGCCCTTGAACTGCACTCATCTTTCGTGGCATCGTCCTGTTCGAGATCCTCCACATCCACGATGGAGTCCTCTGCGTCCGGATCAACTTCCGCTGCGGAATCATCGTCGTCATAATCATCTTCACACTTATTATTCGTGTTTTGTGCTTGTTTTGGCCTTGTGTCTGCTAAGAGTGAGGCGACACTGAAGCTAATGTGTCCGTTTTTGTTGGTTGCCGTCGGCGGCGGCGGGCGCTTCGGATGCTCGCACATCGCGGACGTCGTCGGCGGTGGTGGCACGTCGTCGGCGTTCACCAGCGCGTCGTCGTCGTCGTCGTCGATCTGCGTCTCGATGCTTTGGATAGTCATAATTCGCGGCGCACTCACGAAATGATTTTTGAGCATCAATTTTATTTGCACTATTCGATTCACACACAACACTTTTGAAAATTCACTCAAAATTATCCTTTTTCGTTGAAAAAGTATTTTTCAAAAGCGACAATACTAATGATACTTTTGATGAGTATTTGTATTTGTATGGATTTTATTGAAACTGACCGCTTCTCGGCACCAACGCTAACGTAACTAAACTGAACACGAACCAGTCGAGTTGCGAGTGCGACCGGAGCCGGTTTGCGTGGGGGAGGCGGCGACCGGCGACGATTCCAATGGGAGGCGCCTAGTGCGCGATCGACCGCCGCGGACGTGCACCAATCGCGCGCGCTGAGGAAGGGACAAGCGCCGGGTGTGCCTCTCTGGAGTGTGCGTCGGGAAGTGGGAAACTTCCTCTCTTCGCACACGCTGTGTAATTGTGTAATTTTCATACGCGCTTATATTCGCTGGTACTTGAATATTATTAGAATTATTTGAGGTTTTGAGAATATATGCAACCCAATATACTTTTATTGGATTAGGATTGTATAACTGGTTGCATATTATATAAAATTTAGTTTTTAGGCAGAGAAATCAAATATTTTGAGTATTTTTGCGATTTTTGAGATTTTTGAGAATATATGCAACCCAATATACTTTTATTACATTACTAATGTATAACTGGTTGCATATGATATAGAATTCAGTTTTTTTATGCGGAGAAATCAAAGTTTTTCATAATTTTTACATTTTTTTGAGTTTTTTTAAGAATATATGCAACACAACATACCTACATTTATGCTTTTATATATTGTATAATTGGTTGCCTATGATGCAATATTTAGTTTTTAACGGAAAAAACAAAAATTTTGATTATTTTTACATATTTTTGAGTTTTTAGCAAATATATGCAACCCAACATACATTTATGCTTTTATATATTGAATGACTGTTTGCCTATGTTAAAAATTTCGTTTTTATCTCACTAAATCACATTTTATTAACATAAGCGCATTTGTAGTGAAAATATTATGCGCGCACGCAATGTGTATACAAGATGGCGATAGCGTTTGACAAATTATCGCCGCTTCATATTTATTTTTTATTTCTCCGACATGAAAAAAATTAATTCACGCAAGCATAACGATAACGTGACGAATTTTCATAATTCATATTTCTCTCTTTAACAATGAGTGCATTGGTATTGTCGCTTTCTTTACCGCTTGTCGACTTGGCAGTAAAGTAAAATACTCTTGGCGTCCAAGAATGTAATAATAACTTGTAGAATGTTTATTTCAGCGAGATGAAAAGTTGAAAAGTTAATTAATGTCTGCGACGACGACGAGCGGCGACGCACGACGATCATTTCCTAATTTGTTGCTCGCCGCCAATTAGTTTTATGACATTGAGCGTTTTTTTGCGCGCGCGCGCTCGCGGCACGGGACGGGACAAACTCGAGCACAGCGGAATGCCACCGCGATAAAAATGTATTGCTGTGTGCTTAGTTGCAGCTTAGTAGTACTCTCAGCTACTTCTTGCGCACTTATCGTACTTAGGATTAATTATAGTTTTATTTCCAGCGATATAAATCTATATGGAGTTGATCGGTGCATGTTTTTACCGGTGAAATCAAATTCGTATTAATTGTATGATGTGGAACTTGTTTTTATAGGTGTTTTAAGTCGTAGAATGTTGGATTAAAGGTTATTAGGAAGGGAATTTATTGTTTTATAACATGAGGTTATGTTGGATAGGGATATAATTGTTTATAATAGTTTTTTCCGGGGTTTTTGTTGATTTTTACACGTTTTTTGGTCAAAATTTGATTTAAAACACGTTTTTGGCGGTTTTTTAATGGTTTTAAGATGAAAATTTGATGTTTATTTGATTGTTTAAATAATTGAGGTTATGTTTAACAGGAAGAAATTTTTTTTCTGTCACTTTTTGGGATTTTTCTTGAGTTTTTCGCTATTTTTCGGTCAGAAATCAAGTAAAACTGCATTTTTTACACTTTTTTTTATATTTTAACATCAAAATTTATTGTTTAAATAATTGTTTAAAAAGATGAGGTTATGTTTTATAGGATTATAAATTTTTCTGTTAATTTGCTACAATTTTTCCAACTTTTTGCAATTTTTCGTCCAAAATTAACTAAAAAACACGTTTCTTACACTTTTAAAGATTTTAAGATAAAAATATAGAGTTAATACAGTATAATTTTCCACCGAGTGTGTTTTCCAAAGCTGAATAGATGACTAATTGTGTGTTTTTCCAAGCTCCACTCATATAATCTGAATTATCTCGCGTTTTCGCCGTCGATTAAGAAAATAAAGTGGCTATTCATTAGCCAGGCGCGTGTGCTAGTGAGCGCGACGCATTTCTTTTATCTCTGCTCACATCCTAAGCGCTGCTCAGCTATCTGCGCACGCCGGATAAAATTAGCTCAGCGTGCGCGCGCGGTCGGTCGCGCAATCTGTCGTGAAATAATAAAAGGCGTCTATTCAGTGCGCGTGCGCGTCGCACTCTTCTGCCGGGGCGTAATGAGTGTTTATATTTGAATTTAATGAGCAGCATATTCACACATACACACGTAGACAGTGAGTTGGTTTTCTTTGCTTGCTGCTTGCTTGCTACGGGTGTTTGACTCGTAATTATTCATCGCGCGTTGTGGACGCCCGGATATTGAGTTTGGCCCAAATGAGCCAAGAAAATGTTTCCAAATTGTCCTCCTCTGCACATAATTGATTTTTATTTCGCTCCGCGCCCGAGGAGAAGAGAACAAATACGTGCGGTGGTTATTTTTAAGCAGCGTCGGGAGCAGCAGTAATTGTCGAGCGCAGCAGAGTGCGAACAATGCACCTGTTTGAGAGGCGAAATTCGTCGCTTTTAATTTATATCTTTACTCTTGTTAAATGCACTGGATGCAGGAGAGAGCTGAGACAGGTCGGAAATAATGTGTGGTTTTGGTTATTTTCGGACTGTAGGCAACACAATGTACAAAAATTTTGGTCTTTTGGGTGGTAATATATTGAGGTTAACAGAAAATTTAATAATATTATTTTTTTGAGAATTACCTAATTGTTAGGTTATTAAGGAATAATTCAATTTTTTTAGCAATTTGTATTTTTTTGAAAAATTTTTCAAGTTTAAATGCAAATATCATATAAACCATTGGAAGGATTTTGTTTAAACTTCGCACATGTGTAAAGTAAGTAGTCCTTTATCAGTTTTACAAGATTCAAGTTAAAATAATAATTATTGTTAGTTTTATAACAAAATTAGTAAGAAAAAAAAGCAAGAAAAATCATTAAAATTTGCATTTTTTTTGTTTAAATTTCTATAACTTTGTTAATAATTGAACAATTTCTACAATTTTTTCTCTAAATGATAGTCAGAAACATGCTCCATAATAGTCTGTTTAAATTTTTGCAATATAATAACCAGAAACTTTACAATTTACAGTTTAATTTTATTATCGGTGAAATTACAAAATTTTATGCTTTCAATAACTACAGAAGCACTATAAAATATTTACTTTAAAAATTTTGCAAGTAAAATCTCCTTTAAATTCTCTTTCCACCCATGCTTCATTCAATATTCTGCAATTTTAAACTCTCGAGTTATGACGTCTTAACTTCTTTACTTTTTTTGAGCCATAATAATTCATTACACGTGCGCTGCGCGCAGCTCCGGTGCCGTCTGGTGGTTCGGTTCCGAGTTGTAAAACAAGATTTACTTCATATTCAAATATTGCGTTAAAAATACGCAAGTCTAATGAGCAATATGTCAGAAATCGTTAAACTCGCACCGAACACGCATGCAACAGATGCGCACATTGTGCACAAAAAAAAACAACGAGAGAAAAAGCTCAAGTTTAAGAGCATCGAGACGCACAACAGAGAGTGCTAATTAGATATTAAATTTCAGACTTAATCATTTGCATATTTAGCCACAACTGCACAACTTGCACAACTTGCACAGATGAAAATCGGATGTTTAAACTTGAAAATGAAGAGAAAAGAAGTAAAAATTGAAGAAAGGAAGCAAAAAATGTAAAAAAGTTAAAAGTAATTAAAGGAAACATGTTGGAAGAGTATAATCTTGTCTTGTAAAATTAAATATTTGACGGTTGTGCTTACATATTTATTATTTCCAAGTAGGATATTACATTTTATTTACGATTTTATATCCTTTTTGATCAATTTTTGTTGAAATTTAAAATTTTGTTAAATTTTCAAAGTTTGGAAGCAAATATCTTATAAACTATTGGAGTAATTTTGTTTAAATTTTGCACACGTATAGAGTAAGTAATCCTTTATCAGTTTTACAAGATTCAAGTTGAAATAATAATTATTGTTAGTTTTATAACAAATTTAGTAAAAAAATAAGCAAAAACTGATAAAAATTGCATTTTTCCGCTTTAATTGCAATAATTTTGTTTATAATTAACATTTAACCAATGTAAAATTAAATTTTTTATGCGTGTGTAAAACATTTATTATTCCTCAATAGAGTACTATACTTTATTCACGATTTTAGATCGTTTTTGATTAATTTTTTGTTGAAAATTAAAATTTTGACAAATTTTCAAAGTTTGGAAGCAAATATCTTATAAACCATGGGAATTTTTTTGTTTAAACTTTGCCCACGTATAAAGTAAGTAATCTTTTATCAGTTTTACAAGATTCAAGTTAAAATATTAATTATTGTCAGTTTTATAACAAAATTATTTTAAAAAAGCAAGAAAATCGATAAAAATTGCATTTTTCCCTTTTAATTGCTATTATTTTGTTAATTATTAACATTTAAACACTTAAAAATTAATTTCTTTATGCATGTATTAAACATTTATTATTCCTCAATAGAATACTATACTTTATTCACGATTTTAGATCGTTTTTGATTAATTTTTTGTGGAAAATTAAATTTTTCACAAATTATCAAACTTTGAAAGTAAATATCTTATAAACTATTGGAATAATTTTGTTTAAACTTTGCACACGTATAAAGTAAGTAATCCTTTATTAGTTTTACAAGATTCAAGTTAAAATAATATTTATTGTTAGTTTTATAACAAAATTAGTAAAAAAATAAAAAAAAAACGATAAAAATTGCATTTTTCAGTTTTAATTGCAATAATTTCATTAATAATTAACATTTAAATACTTAAAAATTAAATTCCTGATGCATGTGTAAAATATTTATTATTCCCTAATAGAAAACTATACATTATACACGATTT